TTAAGTCGAGGTCCGATTTGAAGATGGTTCCGAGAGGCCTCCGAGAGTGCTTTGCTCTGTCAAGCCAAGCATCAGGGGCCTTATCGACTTCGATGACTTCAAAGAGCCACCCCCTACAACCGCCCACTGGCACACCACACAACCACCTTTCAACCTCCCGTCGCCTTGATGCCCCCACATGGGTCATAGGTCCCCGCAAGTGGACCCGGCTATGTCTTGTTTGGCTTATTCTTGTACAATTTCATTGTGATCGAAGGCTGCTGTATACTATTTTCGTCTTGAATTTTCCTCGAATCGAAGTTTTATATCCGTGCATTTAGACAATTTCATCGAAAGTCTAATAGCCCATCCTTGTCAAAGAATGTCGATACATTATTTGTGGGTGGGGATTTTGCCTCAAATAAGCATCTACGATACCAACATTAAAAATGATAGATTTAGTAAAAAATTACCAATACAAAATGCCTTTTGAAATTGAAGAATTCTAGTACTTACGCAATTGCTATTGTGAGCTAGCTTGGGCTTCTGAGTTGAACCTATATCAAGTTAAGCCGTCATTTAAATGAGCAGAGTTGTGCCTATATTAAGTGGAGCCGTCAAACGAGCTTGAGTTTATTAGATAAACTCAAATTTTAAGGAGATAAAAAGTTATATAAAATTCTCTACTTTAAAGTAGAGCTTGGCTAGTAATCGAGCTCGCCGCTTGTTTACCAAGTGAGTCGAATTGTGGTAATGTCTTAAAAAGTTAAATCGAGCTCACGAGCAACTTATTTGCTTTCACCATGGGAAAAGTTCAAAAATTATATAAAATTCTCTATTTTAAAGTCGAGCTTGGCTAGTAAACGAGTTCGCGGGCCAGTCACCAAACGAGTTGAGTTGAGCTTACAACTTAACAAGTCGAATTGAATCGAGCTCACTCGCCTCAGTCACCAAATGAGTTGAGTTGAGCTTACAACTTCGTTTGTGTTGAGCTAACAACTTAACAAGTCGAATTGAATCGAGCTCACTCGCGGCTCAGTCACCAAATGAGTTGAGTTGAGCTTACAACTTAATAAGTCGAATCGAATCAAGCTCACGCACAATTGATTTGCTTTCCCTAACTCTATAATCTATGCTTCACCTCGCTTGCGCTGTGTGTATGTTTTTAGTCTTCAGTCCCAGCAAACGATGAATTGTTATTCTCTCACTACTGTAACTCTTGGGCTCTGCCCGAGCTCATTTCCAAGCCGTCAGAGGCATAACAAAGCCTACTCTATTGGGCTGCCTTTCAAGGTCTCGTCAATCCGAGGCCGCGCAAATCCATCCCTCGCTGTTTCTGCACCTCTATCGCCGTTCAAAATCCGCAATTCGGGACTTGGTCGAACGAGGGCTTCTCCAAATGGCGCCCAATCGGCCGGCGGCGATGTCTCGAGTGAGCTGCGCACGCCGAGCTTCTTGGAATTCATCACTTCCGAGAGGGTGAAAGTGGTGGCGATGCTCGCCTTGGCTCTGGCTCTCTGTAACGCCGATCGGGTTGTCATGTCGGTCGCGATTGTGCCACTCTCGATCTCTCGTGGCTGGCGTCAGTCATTTGCCGGCGTTGTTCAGGTAAACCCCAACCTTTTTCCTCTCGACTGTGTCTTCCTTGTTTGATCTGTTGTGATACGGAATTTGCTTGTGTTCGCCGTCTTCTTGTACTTCCTCATCTGTTTCACCGCATCTTATTGATTTCATAGCCACTAATGGCAGTCGTCTTTTCTATGGGGATACCTGATATCACCTATAGCTGGAGGGACTCTGGTGGACCGTTATGGCGGTAAGGTAGTCATGGCTTGGGGAGTAGCTTTGTGGTCTCTGGCTACCTTCCTTACTCCATGGGCAGCTGAAACATCTCTACTAGGTTTGCTTGCTATGCGAATGCTACTCGGCATTGCAGAAGGTGTTGCTCTTCCTTGCATGAATAATATGATAATAAGGTACCTACAAGTTAATCCCGCAGATATGATTGTTCGATTATCATTTTCTTTTGTTGCAAAGCCTAAAGCACGCAGATGACTAACATTTTTGAATAATCCTGCATAGATGGTTTCCTCAAATTGAGCGGTCAAGGGCTGTAGGACTTGCAATGGCTGGGTTCCAGCTTGGAAGTGCTATTGGGCTTTCGCTTTCTCCAATCCTCATGTCACAGGGAGGCATATATGGACCGTTTGTGATATTTGGGTTGTCTGGCTTTCTTTGGGTTTTGGTGTGGATATCAGCAACTTCAAGCTCTCCTGACCGCAGTCCTCAAATATCAATATATGAGCTGAAATACATACAAAACCGGTCATCAGTATCTTCTGTGTCAAAAGATCAAGTGAGAGCAAGTCAAGTCATTCCTCCATTCCGGCGTTTGCTCGCTAAGCTACCAACTTGGTCTTTAATTATTGCAAATGCTATGCACAGCTGGGTAATGCATCTGGTTTCTTTTAGAATTCTGGATAATTATAGAAATTTGTCTCTGTCTACTCTGGTTGTCTGAATGTTCCTTAATATCATTTGTCTTTGAAAGTTTGGATGCAAGTCAAAGGTGGATTTGATTAAGGTTTTATGCACAATGATATGGTGTCATGTTATTGGGCTATTTGAGTTGCTGGGGTGGGGGCGTGATTTGCCTATGCTGGAAAAATTTGAGACGTAACTGGAAAAGAAAAATGCAGGAATTTTCTCTGAATTCTCAGTCATGCAATTAATGTAAGATTATAAAATTGTACTAATATCCTACTTTGTAAAATGATACAAATGAATGCAAAGGAAAGGACTCCAAGAGGAATTAATTGTCTGAAAGGAAATTATACAAATGAATGCCAAGGAAAGGAGTCCAAAATTATCATTTATTTTATCTAGGCACTAGGTTCTTGCTTCTCTAACAGTAATTCCCTAGAAATATGTCACATGGGCACAATTAGTTGCTTCACATTTGTCTTGCAGGATTGTTTTTCAGTAAGATTTTATTCTCTCCCCGCCTTTTCTTTTTAATACTGCAGGGTTTTTTTGTCATGCTTTCATGGATGCCAATCTACTTCAAAACGGTGAGTTCGTACAGTTATGATTAGAATCTGGATTTATTTAGTTTGTGCTCCTGGAAGACAAGTTATAGGGATTTCTTGCTGTAGATATATAATGTTGATCTCAGACAAGCTGCATGGTTTAGTGCTGTTCCGTGGAGTATGATGGCTCTTACTGGCTATTTTGCTGGCATCGTATCAGATTTGATGATTCAAAATGGCACAAGTGTAACTTTGACTCGCAAAGTCATGCAGGTTTTATTTATCATGACTTTCCTCTGCATCTGAGCACCACCACTTCCCACAAAAACACAGCAACAAAAAAAAGAAAGCATACTGAGAAAGACTTGAAAATATTCCTAATGCATATTTGACTGTTTTTGCATTGTCGTCTCGTCAAAGACTTCAAAACTTGTCCTAGAACAAATTATGTAAATGTTAGGTGGCTCATAATTTGTGCATGGAACTGAATATATCTCACAATTTCTTTCCTCTAAATTTTCATTTTTCATTGTTCCATTTTTCTTGTCTTCTAAACTTCCTTCCTCGTATTCTTGACAGTCAATTGGATTTCTTGGTCCTGGCATCGCTCTTATCTGTTTAACAACGGCAAGAAGTCCGTTCATAGCATCTGCCTGGCTTACTTTTGCTGTTGGCCTGAAAGCCTTTAGTCATTGTGGCTTCCTTGTGAACCTTCAGGTAATAATAATAATAATAATAATAATCATAATAATAATATGCATCTCGTGCCAACTCATTAGTTGTATTTTCATATGCTCTCAATTTTTGTTTACCATTTGCTCCCTCCAATCCCAGGAAATTGCACCGCAATACTCTGGTGTTCTACACGGTAACTTCTCTTGTCTCGTCATGAATTTTCCTCTCTGTGATTTAAGTTTTATCTGTATCCACTCCGTTATTTGATAACAAGCAATGAGCTTCGAAGCTGGCTGAATACTGAACTTGAGTCCATCTCTATTCATGTAGGTTTGTCTAATACTGCTGGCACGTCTGCGGCTATAGTCGGGACTGTTGGTGCTGGTTTTTTCGTCGAGATAATGGGCTCGTTGAAGGGGTTCTTGTTGCTTACGGCTTTCCTGTATTTCTCGGCGGCTTTGTTTTGGAACCTCTACTCAACAGGAGAGAGGGTCAATTTTGACGAAACTACTTAGGCCCTTTGTTCACATTTGACAATGCCCGGCTTGTAATTTTGTGATTGTGTTAGTTTTTAGATAGCCGTGAGTGTATGTGGCCGTGTGTTGAATACTTGAATTGTACATTTGGATCGGATATCGTAAATAGTGAGAGATCTAACCGTCACCCCTCATGCAAATGCAGTGTAAATAACAGAGAGATGGGTGGTTAAAACTTCAAAGACTTTTATAACTCATTACATCATTTTAGATTCATACATCTCAAGGCAAGGGGATTTGGATTACTTAATAAAGAAAAAAGAAGCTTAAATGCAAACACGAGGAAGCTGTGAATGTGAATTTTTACAGTGAAATGGAATTCATCAATCCCAAGAGTCACGTGAAATGATGGTTAATTTTGGCGACCATTCTATGTGATTTTCTATTAACTCAATTCTTGTTAATATTGATAGCTCTAGCTTGAAAACCTTGAGCACCTGTTTGTTTAGTAGCTCAACAGACATGGCCAAGGGTCGCCCGGCCCGCCTACATGACGACTGGACTTATGTTTCCTCGTTATTAGCTCAACTTAGCTCGGCCTAAAGTTATTTCTTTTATTATCAGTTGAGAAATGTTCACCTACTCACGGTAGGCACATGTTAATATGTCCACCGCGTAGGTGACATACACTCATTGGTGATGTTAATATGTTTAAACAAATACATCACCAATGAGTGCATGCTACCTACGCAGTGGGCATATTAACAAATACATGACCAATGAGTGCATGCTACCTACGCATTGGGTATATTAACATGTGCCCACCGTGGGTAGGGGAGCATTTATGTTTATCAGCTGGGCGTCTTTTACTGGGTACTTGTTCAGATATTCGTCTCTCACTCTTAGCAGTCATGATCAACTGATCACCCCTCACTCGCTCAAAACCACATAAACTTTTCCCCTTTTTTCCCAAGTATCTCAAAGTTTTGTTTGCGGCGTAAGGTTCTAATTATCTGGGCATTGCATTACTCGTGTTTCCAATTTCGAAGCATACAATTGGTACTGAGCCGGCTCGGTTTTTTAATATTTTCATGCAATGTTTTGCCTTGTTCTTGTAACCCCACTCAGATTTTCGTGGATTTTTATATTTGTTGTGTAATTTGTTTTTTTTTTTCTTCTAAGCCCTGGTGATTGTAGTGTCATCTTGAATGATTGATTTTTTTATTTTTTTTATATATATATATATATATCTTGATAATGAATTGATGATTATGAGATCATGTGAAATTGAAACCCTTTTAACGAAACGAGATTAGTATCCACATTGGTCAACTCAAATCAGTGCCAGTTTTGTTGCAGGTGAAGTGAGTAGCCATGGCAGCTACTGTGAAGACAAACGGTGGTGGGACTGATGAAGCTAAACTTACACAGAAAACTCCGTCAGTTGCTTATCCTTTGGCTAAAGATCCATCCCAGATTTCTGCCAATATCGATTACCACGCGCAATACAGCCCTCATTTTTCCCCTTTCAAATTTGAGCCAGAACAAGCGTTCTACGCTACTGCAGAAAGTGTTCGTGACCTCCTGATCAAGGTATTGTGTCCAATCGACACCTGGTTTTTGCTGTTAAGGATATATGGTGATTCATATTGTTGCTTTCTGCCTTTTGTTTTGATAATGGTGATGTCAACTGCCAAAGTTAAGATTGGTGTATATTCAATACGTTGTATATTGAGGTGACCTGCATATATAAATAAGCCGTTATGCAAAAAAGCTGGCGACCTTGTTCTTACTTCATTGTGGTCTCTTGTGGTTAGCATGAGTTTCTTTTCTATTCATTATTTCTTTTGGGGAGTATGGTACTTGATAATCCAGTAAATAGATAAATAAAGTAGCAAATAAGTGTTGCAGTTTGACTTGAGCAGTAAAGTTATAATGATTATTTGTTTTGCCAATGTTGCATGTTTTGATTTTTTCCGAAAGAATAAACAAATAAAAAATGTGAAGTTATTTTGAATTTCATGGCAGCAATGGAATGAGACGTATAGTCACTATCACAAAGTTAATCCTAAGCAGACATACTATTTATCCATGGAGTATCTCCAAGGCCGAGCTTTGACCAATGCTGTCGGGAACCTCGATGTTCAAGATGCATATGCTAAAGCTTTAAAGCAACTGGGTCATGAAATTGAGGAAATAGTGGAGCAGGTAACTTTATTTGTCCCTTTGCACTTGAAAAATGTTTTGGTGTTAGATAAAATATCACGCCACATGACTTCACTTAATCTTCTTAGTTCAACTTCAATTGCACTTGTTACTTAAAATGAAATGTTAACCTAAATATCTACCTTCAGTGTTCTAGCCCAATAATTTTATATGAATACATAGGAGAAAGATGCTGCACTTGGAAATGGTGGTCTTGGGAGGCTTGCTTCTTGTTTTCTCGACTCAATGGCAACCTTGAATTTACCTGCCTGGGGATATGGTTTGAGGTACAGATATGGTCTATTCAAGCAGATTATCACCAAAGCAGGCCAAGAGGAAATTGCAGAAGATTGGTTGGAGGTTCTCTGGCACATAAGCTATTTGAATACTAGTTTATATCTTCTTTCCTAGGAAAATGCTAACTAATAAACCTTTTGTTTTGTGGTGAACAAAAAGCAGAAATTCAGTCCCTGGGAGATTGTCAGACATGATATTGTCTATCCTATAAGATTCTTTGGACAAGTTGAGGTCTATCCATCTGGGTCGTAAGTGAAGCTTACTATGGTTTGAGTTTAAAATGTGGATGCACTTCGAACATTACTCTTCATATTCACGCATTGTTTTTGAAAATGTTTTAGCCGAAAATGGGTTGGCGGAGAGATTATACAAGCTGTTGCATATGATGTGCCAATTCCTGGATACAAGACAAAGAACACCAACAGTCTTCGTCTTTGGGAGGCCAAGGCTGGTGCTCAGGACTTTAACTTATTTCAGTTTAATGATGGACAATATGAATCTGCAGCTCTACTTCATTCAAGGGCTCAGCAGGTGAAGAGTTCATGTTCTGAATCTGCAATATGTAAATTTATGATTATAGGAGTAAATGGCCTGACCGTGCATTCTTCAAGTCTCAATAAATGTGTCATTGGCATGTGCAGATTTGTGCCATTCTCTATCCTGGAGATTCTACAGAAAATGGAAAACTTTTACGACTGAAGCAGCAGTTTTTCCTGTGTAGTGCATCACTGCAGGTACTTTGATATCTTATTTTATTTCCCCTTTTAATATTCACCTTCATCTATTTGGGTAACTTCGGGTTCATCTAAATTTTTCTTGTAGTAATATCCTTAACAGAAACTCAAAAGTTTAGCAACCATGTCTGAAAATCCTGTATGAAATTTATAAATTTGAAATCAAGCTTTAAGCTGCATCACAAAACAACTAGAAGATGCCAGATCTCATGAAAGAGGCTGTATAAAGAGTGTGAAACCCCTTTTAAAAGTCTACTTCCTCCTCGTATATGAAACATTTTTTTTTTTTTTAAAAGCATCCATTTTAAATGCAAAGGTCTGGTGCTTGATATCTATGTGAAATTATACATTATGAATACCTCTGAATCTGGAAGTCTTTGACCTTTTTGATTGAGCAAATATCTTATTTATGCATTATATTTCACATTTTAATTTCTAGAACTGGGCATTATCTCCCTTGCAATTTTTTTGCGCGTAATTAAGTCCATCAAGTAATAATGACGCAATCTGTCTGACATTACCCTTTCTACTAGCATCCTAAAGCTGGTGCCAATTTTTCAGGACATTATAGCCCGATTTAAGGAAAGGAAAGATGGAAAGGATGACATCCAATGGTCCGAATTCCCTTCTAAGGTTGCAGTTCAATTGAATGATACACATCCGACTCTTGCAATACCCGAATTGATGCGTTTGTTAATGGATGATGAAGGCCTTGGATGGGATGAAGCTTGGGATATTACCACCAGGTGCTGTTCTAACTACATAAGTTTATTTAGATTGCTTAAAAGCATATATAGTTTTGCCTTTTGCTGTGTGGTGCTGATATTTTTGATGTGGAAAATGTGGTGAAACCAGGACAATAGCCTACACAAACCATACAGTCCTTCCTGAAGCCCTGGAAAAATGGTCACAAGGTGTTATGTGGAAGCTTCTTCCTCGCCATATGGAAATCATTGAAGAAATTGACAAGCGGGTGCTGTATTCAACATTTATCATTCTTTTATGCTTAATCCTAGGACAATTTAATATGACGAATTATCCTGCCCTCTGCAGTTTATTGCCATGGTTAGGTCAGCTAGACCTGACCTTGAGGACAAACTTACTGGTCTATGTATTTTGGATAACAACCCACAAAAAGCAGTTGTACGAATGGCCAACTTGTGTGTGGTGTCTGCACACACGGTAAGAGTTTTATCTTGCATGAACGTATATCATTTATAATATGACACAAGCACGGGAGATGGTAAAAAAGCTAATATATGTTATTGAAAACAGAACACTACACCTATAAATTTATATTTCATTTCTTTTTCGAATATTAATGGCCTTGAAGTGATAAGAACAAAAAAAGAGTACTGGTACCATTTTCATCTAAACCTAGCAGTCAAAAACAAGAAATAATTATTGAAATCCATAAAATATAACTAGTAGTATAGTGGTGGTAACATTCTTTTTTTTCTTTTTTTCTTTTTTATTTTTTAAAAATTTTGTACTTCATATTTTATCTGCATAGACACAGGCATTATCGCTTGAGACTGATAACATGGTGTCATTGAGTGTGAAAAACTTTCATGATAAACCGATAGACATATCATCATCTAACTTGAATTTATTCTCAGACTATTACATTTACAACATTTTGGTATGCCTAGCTACAGGACAGGCTATTAAGCAGCAATGTTTATTAAACTTCTATATCTGACCTGTTGCGCTGCTCTTCGCTGATGTCTTTGAATGTGAATATTTATTTACCACGTGTAGTTTACAGTAAATGGAAATGGGTCAGGCCGTAGCCTTTTTTAAGCGCATAAATCTCTGTTCAACTTCAACGTCTTTGTGCAGGTGAACGGTGTTGCGCAGCTGCATAGTGACATATTAACATCTGAGTTATTCTCAGATTATGTGTCTATATGGCCTTCCAAATTTCAGAACAAAACAAATGGTATAACTCCTCGTCGATGGCTCAGGTTTTGCAATCCTGAGCTTAGTGATATTATAACCAAATGGTTAAAAACAGATCAGTGGGTGACTAACCTTGACCTACTTGCAAACCTTCGACAGGTATGTAATTTCATAGTTTCTCCAAAATAATTGTTATATCAATTGCTGATATCACCACATTTTATTTATTTATTTTTGTTGCTGTATTGACCCTATTTTCCTTGAAGTTTGCTGAAAATGAAGAACTCCAAAGCGAGTGGGAATTGGCTAAGTTGGCAAGCAAACAGCGTTTGGCAAACTACATTCTGCAGGTCACTGGTGAGAACATTGACCCAAACTCAATGTTTGATATTCAAGTCAAACGCATTCATGAATATAAGAGGCAGCTGCTAAACATTTTGGGGGCTGTCTATAGATACAAGAAACTAAAGGTGAGGCGAAATTTCTGCTATTCCGAAAGTACCCGCTGTAATATGTTTTAATCTTTTGCGTGAACGTTGTAGTACTTACCCAATTAACATGAGGTGTTGCTTGAGCATTTAAATTAAGCTCCATGACAGTCAGTAAAATGATTTCTGTATTTCTTGTCTGTGGCCTTGATGTTACCGTCCATTGCATAGGATACAATTCCTATCCTAGAAAGCACTATTCATATCGCTTCTTACTTAGTTAATTTCCAATGCAGGAGATGAGCCCTGAAGAACGTAAAACTACAACTCCTCGCACCATCATGATTGGAGGAAAAGCATTTGCGACGTATACAAATGCCAAAAGAATAGTAAAACTCGTAAATGATGTTGGTGCTGTTGTCAACAGCGACCCGGAAGTCAATAGCTTTTTAAAGGTTCATCTCCTTTATATCTTGAACTCATCTACTTAAGCCCAAAGGAAATAGATTGTTTTCTCATGTTGTTCATTTCACATAAAAATAGCGAAACTTGTGTCTGTATAACCTGTCTTAACATAAACTTCGGCAATATTTGCTACATGCAAGAACCATAGGAACTGGAAAGTGGAAATGGAATATTTCTTCATTATTTTATTTTTCTTTTATTTTTTTTATTTATTTTTTATTTTTTTTGCTGTTTGTTGCCTGATCATGTGTTGATTAAACCCAACATTGACAAATCATAGTTTACATACTCGCACCATTTGAATTTCTTGAGTATTGTTGACCACCCTTGGGAAAGTTGGGCAGGCTAATTGAAGTTTCAGTTGCATAGCATTCAAATTAACGTCCTGTGTCTCCATCTATATGCTCTGTCTTGCTAATTTTTATTCGTGAATCGTGGCCCCAACTCATCATATGAGTATTATAGAAGTCGTCTTGTATCATGTCATTTTTCTCATTTTACTTCTGCTGTTTCCAGGTCATTTTTGTCCCTAATTACAATGTATCCGTGGCTGAGATACTTATCCCAGGAAGTGAATTATCACAGCATATCAGTACAGCTGGAATGGAGGCAAGTGGCACAAGTAATATGAAATTTGCCCTCAATGGATGCCTCATCATTGGGACACTAGATGGCGCTAATGTTGAAATCAGAGAGGAAATTGGGGAAGAAAATTTCTTTCTTTTTGGTGCCACAGCTGATGAAGTTCCTAGGTTGCGTAAAGAAAGAGAAAATGGAATGGTAAATCTCTATATGTTGTTCAATGCCCATACCTCCTTACATACCTCTGTTCATTTTATACATCGAAAACAAGATAATTAGATAAATGGTTATATTATGCAATAAGCTACTGAAGATTAATGGTGTATCGACATATAATGATTGACTTGACTATGGTAGCGTCACAATCACTGAAAAATTTTAATATTTGGTTTTAGCTGGAAAACATCACTTTTTAGTGTTTCTAAATGATAGCTTTGTTTTTTTCAACATCTGGAAAGCATTGGAAATCACATACTAATGTTGCAGGGGCTCCCTAAACACTCTAGACTTTTCTTTTTCTTTTCCATATTACAGCAAAGAACATATATAAAGTGAAAGAAGTTTAGGAACTATCGGCATGAAAGGAGATGGTCGATCATCATTCACCAGAAAACTCGACTGACACGGTTTCAAGTATTGAAATAGAAATCATGGAAAATGAAAGATTACGTGGGAAAGTGATGTGTTTACGAAATGTTGTATCAATTACTCAGCACTAAATTTGTTCTTTGATAATACTGACATAAAGTGGGTCTCCATATTCATTTTGTTGATCTAGCTTACTTTGATTTATTACAGAAAAGGCTTATCCCAGAATAAAATCTCCTTTATTTTTGATGTGTAGTTTAAACCGGATCCTAGATTTGAAGAGGCTAAACAGTTCATAAGATCTGGAGCATTTGGTACCTATGATTATAATCCACTGCTCGAATCACTTGAGGGCAATTCTGGCTACGGGCGTGGTGATTACTTTCTTGTTGGTTATGACTTCCCAAGCTACATGGATGCTCAACAAAGGGTGGATGAAGCTTATAAGTAAGTTTTTGAAAAATTATATCCTCTCATATTCACATCTTTTGAAATGACCTTACCAATAAAAATAAACATAAATAAATAAATAAATAAATAAATAAACAGATGAAGTATTAGAATTAATTTGAGAGATGCCCTTTAAATATTGTTATTTGATTGAGTTGGTATATGAACTAGAATAATAGGGGGCCGTTTCTTTTCATTTCCCGAAGTGCATGATAGATCAAAATGCATTACTTCTCTGCATCAGATATTCAATTATTCTGGTGATCATAGTTACACGTGAAACTATTGATTTGTAAGATAATTTAACGTTTATTTGTTACAAGGCTCCAAGTCATAATATGGTACAAGTTTTGATATTGGCTTTAAACGACACTGTCACTGGTTTCATGTTTCAATTGACAGTTTCGCTGAATAGGTCCACTATTGATCGACTTTATAATTCTTGAGATGCAAAATAATGTACTCTTGAGGGATTCTCTATGGTTTTTCGTGGTAGAACATCAATTTTAGGTTTATAACTTGTAGGTATCAAAATTACTAAAACAAAAGTAGCATTTCAAAATCACAACGATATTTATTTTACGAATCAAAGGCTGGCAATGAGCGTCAAATTTGTTTCTTGCAGGGACAGAAAGAGATGGACAAAGATGTCAATCCTTAGCACTGCTGGCAGTGGAAAATTTAGCAGCGACCGAACAATTGCTCAGTATGCAAGTGAAATTTGGAAAATAAACGAGTCTCCCGTACCATAAACACCGAAGCACTTCAGCTAAGATAAAATCAGTCTACTTGTAAGAAGGTAGACAAAGTATCCTTAAACATAAAGAACCGGCTAGAGGAGCTTTCGTGCTGGCTTCCTATTCTATATATAATGTCTGTTTCATACCAGCATCAATATCATCAGACAACTTATTTGAAGACACACTGATATCAATAATGTCAGACATCTTATTTTACCAGTATATGGAGCCATTATGGAGCCAAACTTATCCTCGGGCATCTGATTTTACCAAGTTATTGATTATATATGTTTTGTCTAATTAGAGAATATGATATTTTTACTTACCTAATGTAAAACACAATAATAAAAAAAAAAAAAAAAAAAAAAAAAAAAAAAAAAAAAAAAAAAAAAAAACAAAGACACTACCAAAATTAATTGGCTGAAGATATGTGATCGAGTCAGAGATTTTTTTTTACCCGGACCGGCCGACGGGTCAACCTCAATCAGGACCTGTGACCAGTCCAGTTGTCATGTACCAGGTAACAATGGACTGGTCAATTCCGCCTTGACCCGATAGATTCGAACGGGTCAACTTGATTTGACCAAACCACTATATTTATTTTTTTTATAAAATATTTTTTATTTTATAATAAAAAATAAAAGTTATATATATAAAGGGCAATGCTATATGTACACTCCTTTTTAATAAATTACACAAAGGGCAATGCTATATGTACACCCCTTTTTTACACACAAGGGGGTGTACATATAGACACCCCCTATATAAATTGTAAATATTTATTATGATATACAATATTATTGCTTTTGATGCATAAAATTATATATAAATTATTTACTTTTGTTACTGTTATTTATATTTTTATAATAAAAGTGATATATATAATTTTCAATTTTTTGGAGCACCCACTATGCTTTAGGTCTCTTTTTGTATATGTGGCAAATAAATAGACTTAAGTCCATAATGACATGGACAAACCCAAGCTAAAAAATTCAAAATCTATCCAATGCAAAACAATAAAGTAGTAAGTATAGAATACTAAACAACCAATAAAAATATAGTAATAATAAATATATACAAAAAAATGTGTTTTGTCTATTACAAAGAAAAAGAAAATTATGAACAATTAATGACTAGGTGAGTTTGCACTTGGGTCCAAAATAGACCCAAGTGTGGACTTGGTCTCTTTTTTCTAGTGCCACATAAGTTAGACTAGGTCCACTTTTAATTGCATTGTGAAACATTTTGTAATAGACTATGTCTATTTCCTACATGGCATGTGATTTTTTTCTAACAGACCCAAATCATTGTGGATGCTCTTATTTACTAGAATTAGTATGAAGAAAAATCATCTCATAATTAATTGCAGACCATATATACAAAGTTTTTAGATTTCTAAATCATAAAATAGGTAGCATTGAATGCCCCTAAAATTATGTATTTTGTTGACTTTAATTTTAATAAAACCTGCATCCAAATTTACGTGTGGTTTTGAAGTGAAAATTTGAAATTCAAAATTTCTTCTCATTTTAGTTACAAGAAAATCAGGTTGCATTCAACACTTGGACCAATTTTAAAATTATTCCTTAAATGAAGAAATTTATAGATAATTGTTATCTCTACACAATCACATGATTATTTTCAATATAAAAATAGACAGATTACAAATTAGTGAATCATATATTAACTAATTCAATCTTAAAATTAATGAATAAATCCATAGTATTTTGTAAATTCGTATCTCATATTATTATATCATTAATAATATATTATTGTTATATTATCAAATTATAAAAAGATATTAAATCCATATTGTAAAAAAAAATAAAAATAATTCATATAATTTTATAACAATTCTACTACACTATTTAATCGCATTTCTTTTTATTATATAATAAAATAATAATTAAATATTATATGGTGAACAAGAATAAGTAAAACTGTTACTTTCTCTTATATCAAGGGATAAATTTAAATGCTAAAATTAAATTTTTATTAGTATAAATATTTTAGTGAGATAATATATTAATTATATTACAAGCTAGCTCTAACATGATCATATTTTAATGTTCCGGCTAAAAAACAACGTTGGTTAAAAGATGTGAAAAAAACTTATAACCCTATTGTTTTTTAGACTTAACATTGATTAAAAGAGTTAGAAAGTATATAATAACCCTATTACTTTTTAGACTTAAACGAACAAGTCTTTGAAAATAACTCATTTAATATCTCTATTTCGTGCATTGCACGGGGTACGTACTAGTATATATAAAGAGAGAACTTATTTACTAAAAATAGTAACAAAAAAATTCGCCAAAATTAATTACATGTCACTTTGAGAAATTATTTGATACCATAAAATCAGGCAGTATTAAATGCTCCCTTAAATAGTGAGTTTTATTCAATTAAGGTTTATTCATTCTACTAGCACAACACCTGTGTATTACACAGGTGCTTGTTAAAAAAATATTCGTAAATTTTTAAAATTAATGAGAAAACTATATTAAATTTAGTTTACTTTTTTACAAAAAAAATATATTACTATATATTTTAGAATGATATGCGTTACTTGTGACTTACATGTGTTATATTATATTAGTTTTTATAACTTATATCATATAACTACTTGAAATATAAACATATTAGTTGATAAATAATTTTATTTTTCTAATTAAAAATAATTTTATTATTGTTATAAAGATAAATATAAATTATTTTTCTATACATACAATATGGATGTTAAATCGAAACTCATCCAAAGAAGATTAATTTGATATATTACATATGTAAAACTGATAAAGAAATACAAAAGTTATTACCTTTTAATATATATATATACAATTCAATAGTTATAATAAGGAATGATATTAAAATGCAATTAATACATGTAACATGATCATAAATAATCAACATATTTATGGTAATCCAAACCTAATTATTTTTGGTTTGGAATTAAATTAAAATTTACCCACGCTAATAACAAAGCATGTAATTTTGCCACATAGGATTTCGAAGCACCAGAAACAGTCACATAGACTCAGCGCGTTCTGTATTAATATATACGGGGATTTTATCTTACCTCCAATATAATCATATTCTTAATAAACCTTAAATTTGCTTGTATAATTTTAAATTAATTACATCAATAAATAATATTAATATAAATATTTATTATTAGATAAAAAAATAAAATTATTTCTATAAGGGTTATAAATAATAATGACATTATACGACAATTACATCAATACAACGGCTGATACAGAATTTTTTCCCAGCCAGGGCAATATGAAAAAATAAATACTTAATTTTTTTAAAAAAATTTCATTTCAATTAAAAAAAAAACAATCTTTTAGTCAATGATGGGAAGGTAATTGTCCACGACGCGATTTCATATTTTAAAATCGATGCATTATAGCATCATTGCTAATGCTATTAAATACATCTTTCTCAATATAAACAAGTAAACTATCATTCATCCATTGATCTCCCATTCTATTGCGGAGTGAATTCTTCACGAGATTCATAGCCGAAAATACTCTTTCCACTGAAGCTGTAGTAACCGGAAGAACTAAAGCCAAGATCGGTGCTCTTTGAATTTTGATTATCGAGCTTACTCTTATTCTTAGACAAAAGAGTTGAAGGTTCCTCAATAGTTGCTACTTTTCGATAGTACTTCTCCATTATTGTAACTCTGTAAGCAAAAATTGATTTCAATCAACATAAGAATTCTACAAAATAAGAAAACTCAATTGTAATTGAAGTTCGCCATATTACTTATTTTAATTGGCAATTTCAGTTCTACAAATTCAATCTTTAATCTTTATTTATTCCTGTTACCAACATGGCTTTTCAACATTTTGAAGCCAAAACAAAGAAAACAAGAGTTGCCTTGCCAATATATATGCAATCAGTGAATGAAAATTGAAAACAAGATCAAAAGCCAAAGTGTCTGATTCAGTAAATTAAATTTCTATTAAAATGAATACGAATACTAAGTCTAGCAATTAGCATAAAAATCTCGATTGTTTCTCGATTGCTAAATGCTACATGCTACTCAAAAAAATACATCAAATAAAAAAAAAAAAAAGAAAAGCTGAAAACTCCAAATACACACTTCAGTAAATTAAATTGCTAATTAATGGTCTAACAATTAGCATAAAAATCTACTCAATAAAATACAGAAAAAAAAAGAGGCTGAAAACTACAATTGGATTATAATTATGAGCTGACCTTGATAGCTCCTTGAGAAGTGATTTTCTTTTCAATTCTATGTACGCCTAATTCACAAAAACTGGAAGAATCAAATATTATGGAAGAAGATGAGAGATTGGGGATCTTGTGAGTTGTGAAGGTTAAACCCCTTTTTCTCTTGTCTGCTGTTGTGCGTGTGTAATGGGACAAAAATCAAGTTTTTATTTCATTTTTTGTTTTTTTTTTTATTTTTAATTATTAAGACCACAACTACATTTAAATATATATGTTATGCTTTATTTGGTCCACAAAAGTTTCTCAATTGTTTTCCAACCGCACGTAGAAACATTAAATTCATGTTCTTAATGGGCCACCCCAAGTACCTATTAAATATTCTTTAATAGTTGGGTTGTCATTAACTTTGTAGCCCAAATTTAAATGAAACCAAGACAGATGCTTTAAAAAATTAAAAAAAACTTACCTTCGTCTTCTTTGCTCAGCTGCCCCTCTGCGCTCTGCGCGAGATTTCAACCTGGGCAAAAGCTCTATTTTTTTTTTGGTACATGGACCTTTCGGTTTCTGGATCCACATAGGAACCGACTAATCTAAAATCGAGCCGAGTAGGACCACAAGGGCGACAAAGCTCTATTATTCACACAATAATTCTATTAAAAATGGTAATTAGCAGCAAAAATTGAGCCTGAGAAATTGCCCAGGCTCGCCTTAATGTCCATCCGCCCCTGCATCAATAAATAATATTTTGATATAAATATTTATTATTAGATAAAAAATAAAATTATTTCTATAAGTATTATAAATAATAATGACATTATACGACAATAAATTTTTGAGTAAAATAATATTTGAGTATTATGATGAACCAAAGTACGTAATATTATTCTTTTTTTTTTCTGTATTAAAAAATTAATATATATGCAAAAATATTATTTATATTAATATAAATGAATCAACTACTATTGTTAAATAAAGTTATAAAAAAATATTTTAAAATACGAAATCTTGCATCGCACAAGACACTCACTAGTTTTATTTAAAATATGCGGTAATAATTTATTTTCAATTTTGAATTATATTTGAGATTCTGAAGAGAAAAAAAATGGATAAAGTTCAACATAGGCTGAAAGCCTGAAACTCAGCCACCTTCGCAGCCCGCTTTGCTTGTCCTTCTGTTTAAACTTACTCTCGCCACTAACACTCAAACACCTTCTCCTACTTCAGTTTTCGAAATCATTTCTGTTTCCTCTCAGCTTTCAGCGCAACTATGGTTTTAAAACGATTTCGAAAGCCCGAAACTGGTAAATCCCAAACTATACATATCACAATCGATTCATATATTATTTCTGTTCTTCCATGATCTGTACATGAAAATGTTTTTCTAGACTCTGATTGCTCAGCAAGATTCATAGTTTGTAATGTTCGTTAAATTTAAATTCTTTTTCCTAAATTCTTGAACGTCGTTTGCCCATGAGGTGTTCGACATAATGCCTGTTTGATAAAATCGTTGAGAATATGAGGGCATGGCCTTATTTTCCATTATGGGCACTCTTTTGTGAATAATCTGTTTACTCTTCGTGAATCGTACTCTCCTGATGAACATGATTCAGCTAAATTTAGCCTTAATATAACTAGCAAGATACGACTTTTGCAGGGCTTGCAGCTTTGAAGTCATTCAACTACGAGAAGTACCTGAAGAAAGTCGGGCTAGGCAAAGAAGACCACCATTTCTGGAAGCAAGTGGGCAAGGCCCTGTTGTGCACGTACGCCCTCTTTGGCGCTGGTTGGCTCCTGAACGAGACATCGCCTTTCGGCTGGTGGAATTTGAAGCCCAGAACCAAGGATGAAAGGGATCTGGCCCGTACGTACGAGCGCAGGAATTTCCCGTACCCAGGTGATGCAGAGGCTATGGAGGACTTCATTACTAAAGGAGGGATGATTGGTACGACTATTGGGCCCAAAGGGATCATGGACACCGATAAAGATTCGTACAATTATCAGAAGGAATTGCAGGACAACAAGTTCGACCAGGAGGCTTTGAAGCTGTGGATGAGGATGAGGAATGAGGTGATAGCCGAGTTTCAAGAAAAAGGTTTTGATGTTGAATGAAAAAACGTATTATGCCGAATAACAAAAGGTAGGCAATTTATTTATGTGATTGTGAATTGTGATTTAGTGTGGAAGTTTCATGGGATAGTGATCGTCTTTGGTGTGAATCAGGATTCTTGGTGTTACGAAGTATTTCTTGTTATAATGTCTTGCTTGTAGAAATGTTTTTTGTGGTGGATGAATCTTTTGTTTATTAGGTGTTGATGTTTACCATTGTTTTGCAACGAATTAAATTTCTGAGCTCACTCACAAGTCACAGCAATCAAAAATTGTCAGTGGCAGGGCATGATAACAGTTTAATAAGTCTCACTCTTGTAAACTGATTAACGTGTTATAGTAGTAGACATAGAGCAACAAGAAACCTACAATCGACATGACAGTTAGCTTGTGCCAAAAATTGGTTGCTTCAAAATAATGCCAATGCACAAATTATATTCAGTGCAGTTTATTCAATTGCCCCCCAAGTTTACAGTAAACAAAAACATCAAGTAGAGAACAAAGGCCAACCATGAGCAGGGCTAGGAAGAACTCGATAGTCTCTAGCACAGTAATATCGCCCGTCGAGCGTAAACCTACCCCCCAACAAAACGTGCGATTTCATTGAAAAAAAAAAGTTCATCGAGTAGAAGGCAACCAGAACGAAAACGGACAACTAAGAAACTTGTGCTATAATGTTATAATAGAAAGCGTTACAATCGAAACTCTCGACAGTGTCACAAACTTTCGGTTCATACAGAGGAAATATATAATGAAAAAAAAAAAAACACCTACGACACAATTCGTTCAGTTCAACTGCAAAACATTAACACACCGCGCCGTGTACATTCTGAAGCATGAACTTCCCAGACTTGCTATGCTTCAGGCTCCTCAACGGCGTCATATAGAACGGCATATTATTCGCATCACCAATTTCACCCGAGCAATACTTCCCGCCAGAAACCCTTTCCAGCTTAAACCCCTCAATCCCCTTCAAACCATATCCACTGCCACCACCATCAACACTCCTTCTCCGGTAATTCGACTCCACAGCCACAGCATCGCACGATTTTCTGGGGCCCACAACACTCGCACTACGCGCAAGCTTCGGGACGGCCCCGTTTCCCATGAGCCCATCACCATTTCTCTTTGGCCCGAAACCAAACACAGTGTATACCTTGCGCCACCTGATGGATTTCTTTGTGGGACCAGCATTATCGATATTAGCTGCAACTATATTTTCATCTCCCGGAAAAAGAGGCCCATTTTTTTCCAGCCCGTTGCTCAAGTGCCAGTCCTTAAGCTCCTTCTCAGTGATCACCAGCTTCACGTTCTCGTGATCCTCCGAGCCCGACGGTTTCTTACCGAAACTCCGGACAGAGCTCGACCGGTCGAAACTGCTCCGTCTCATGGAGGAAGACGAGTCAGAATTCGAGTGGCCGGAGGCTGATGCTCCAGACATGCTCTCGTCCTCGACAATCGAGTGCATTGGTCTATCCACCGAGAGCCTGTGGCTCTCGAACTGGTTGGGGCCCTCAAAATGGCCGTTTTCGAGCACAGAGAACATTGGGGCTAACCTAGGGATTGACCGGGCTATCATGTACCCGTCCCACGAGGCACGAGGCTCCTCGAACGAGATCTTGTCAGCATCAACAGGCAGCCGAGGGTTAGTGTCGCAAGATCTTGGCCCTAGAATTGCAGGATTCGGAGCTCCCTCCGATTTTCTCCCGGCATGGATGTTATTTTTCTGATTCTTCACCTTACTGGTATTGTTCTGTCTCCAGTTCAGTAATCTCCTGGCGAAAACAGAGGTTGCACCCAAGATATTTCCAGCAATTTTCTCTTTGAAGTCCTTGGATTTCTTCGTCTTCTTCTGAAATTCGAGATCTATGTGCTCCTTCATCGTCTTGAACTCTCCACCTCGGATATCCCAATCGCTGTCGGCGCCGTCGGCGCTCGTTTCCCCCAATTCGTGACTCGAAACCCTAATCTCGCTGCCGTTGTAATTATCCTTCTCCGGCTCGATCACGGTGTAAGTGACCTTCGAGAGCCCCGCATTCCTCCCCACATTCTTCGATTCGACCCTCGCCTCGCTTTCCGATTCGCTCCTCAGATCGTCCACGTCGAAGAGGCTGCGCAGGGGACTCCGAGCCGAGACGACGTCGCACGATCTGCGCCGCGGCTCGCTCCTGCCGCCGGAGGAGCCCTCGCACTTGGAGACGGTGGCCACCGACCTGCACCGTCGGAGCTCAGGCGGGGACGCGTCGGGGATATCGGCCGCGGCGGCGGGGTCCAGGCCGGAGAGGCGTTCGCGGAGGCACGAGGCGCAGATGCCGGCGGTGGGCTCGTCTGGGTGGCGGCGGCAGTGGGTGAAGCGTCGGGCGGGTCGGGTCCCAGCGCGGGGTCGGCCCCGGGAGCGGGAATCGTGCCGGGCGGTCATTGGACGGTGATGGGGTTTTGGCGCATTCAGTGACAAATGCGCAATGTGGACTGAGTGCGTGTGAGTGAAGTGGACTGAAGATGGCTGAGGTGAAGAAAATGAGAGAGAGAGAATCCTAAGAGGAGCAGAGGATGGCAGGTAGGAGACGACAAGGAACCCTCGGTAAAACCTCCATAAAAAGCAAAGTAAGTTGTGTGGACTAAATAAATAAATAAATGATTGACCAAATCTATGGGGGAATATTTAGGGCAAGTCCCATGACGTGTATTTAATGGGTTCGATTTAGATGATTTATGGCTTGACATGACATATGTATGTAGTATTTAAACATCGGGTGAATCTAACCTATTTAATTCAATGTAATTTATGAAGGTCACAGGATAATGTACATGGCTTGGTATGAATTAACCTAACCTGTTTAATTCAATAATGTCATTGGAACAATTCTGATTTTATGAGGGCTGGGCTTAACAATTACGAGGTCAAAAATTTCGATGGATATTGATATGGGTCATAAGTCATAACCTCACAGACCGAGCCGGGTTATAGCTTCATTGACCGAGCCAGGTTAAAGCTTCACAGATCGAGCTAGAACACGACCTCATAGACCGAGGCATGGTTCGGACTGGGATTGATCCCACCATGTATCGA